TCATTGTGTTTGTGTGCAACAAACAAGTGCGCGCATGAGTTTGTGAGTCTGTCACTGCATGTTTGTGCTCTCTGCTCATGTTGGCTTCAGATTCATCTTTTTGGCTTTTTAAAGAACTTATTTGAACAAAAAGTCACTTCAGGGGTCAAAGTGCAGCGAGTGGCCCCCAGGCCACGGTGTGAGACCCCTGGGTGTGCGTTTCCTGTCGTGGCTGCACACGTCACTGAAACTGAGACACAGCTGGAGCAAAGCGGTTATAAAATGTGAAACTCTGAACTCTGCCGGGCGTTTCCCTTCCAACATCCAGCGAGCAGCAGATGCCTCGCTAAGGTCAGAGGTCAGGAGGGCAGGCTGCTGATAGGAAGCAGCCTTTCTGGAACCTGACCGACGTCCAATCAGGTGCTAACCAGCTGTACCAAATAAAGTGTCAGGGGGCGTGTTTACTGACGGTGCTGGGTGGGAGCAGGCTTTCACTGAGCGTGTGCAGTAGGAACAGGCTGGTGTGCGTGTAATGTTCACTGAAGGATGCGTGTGGGCGTGGCCTCAGGCCTCTGATGAGGAGGGGGCCGCGCCTCTGTGACGAGTGTCGCTTTGCTTCCTGTCAGACTCGTCCTCATCTCACTGCTCTTCTCGCTCGGACTCGGCGCTCAGCAGCTGTCGGGGATGCACGGCAGCCTGTGCTCACCGAACTTCCCGGAGCCGTATCCCCGGGACACGCAGCTGCGCTGGAACGTCAGCGTTCCCGACGGCTTCCAGATCAAGCTCTACTTCAGCCACTTCGACCTGGAGCCGTCTTACCTGTGCGAGTACGACTACGTCAAGGTGAGAACGGCACGCACGTTTTTGGTGTGTGTGTGCGCCACAGTGATGTCACAAACTATGGTTCTCCGTCTGCAGGTGGAGGCTGAGGGGGAGGTGCTGGCGCTGTTCTGTGGGAGGGAGCAGACGGACACGGAGGCGGTGCCAGCTCAGCGGGCCCTCACCTCCCCCAGAAACTCCCTCAGCCTCCTCTTCTGCTCCGACTTCTCCGACGAGGAGCGCTTCTCCGGGTTCGTGGCTCACTACAGCGCCGTGGGTAAGAACCAGCCCCCGCCCGCCGAGCGGACGGGTTCGGTCTCTCGGCGTGACATCTCCTCTGGAGTTTGGACCGTCGGGTGCTCATTGGAGTTCTGCTCGGCGCTGGTCTGAAGGCGGGACCGAGCAGAACTCTGACGAGCAGTGACGAGTCTGCGGACTTCCTGTTTCAGTGCGAATCAGTTTAAGAGGTCACCTGACAAAAAGGCGCAGTTTGTTTGCGTTTCTCATCTGATGCTTGTTTCCTGTCTCCTCTGGCCCCGCCCCTCTAGACGTAGACGAGTGCAGCGAGCGCAGTGACGAGGACGCGCTCTGCGATCATTTCTGCCACAACTACATCGGAGGATACTACTGCTCCTGTCGCTATGGTTACCGGCTGCACTCTGACAACCACACCTGCAGAGGTGAGCGCAGACATCGGCTTGGGCGTCGTGATCCACAGCTGATCGCTCGCGTTCATCACGAGTACAGTAGCGTGCTCCGCGGCGCTCTTCTTTCCAGAGATATGATCCATGGGTGGGGGAGGAATGTATGGGTCCTCACGTGTCCTGACAGCGCTGTGGACCGTGACCTCGCTGTGACTGATAGTGGCGCCTGATTGGTGGTAAATATTTGCGTGTTTCTGTGTGGGGGAGGCCTGTGCGTGTTCACGTCTGAGGGTTTGCTACAGAGCGACGACCTCTCAGTGACCTCTGACCGATTACAGAACCATTACAACACACTGAGTGTGCAAAAGTCTTGAGTCTCACCTCTT